CGCAGTTACGTGGTTCCTGCTCAACTGAAGATCGTTGCGGGAGGGGGGAGGGGGGTTAATTCCATTGAGTGGTTTTAAATTGCCGCTCGGATCGCGTTAGTGCGGGACTTTGAGGAGTAGGGTAAGCGCCACCGGGGGCGTTCGTAGATTGATAGGGGTGGCTCCAGCCTCTCCGCAATCGGTGTGGATTTTACGTCCTGGACGGGGCAAGGGTAGGAGGGAGGGGGTTGTATCAGTTTTCGAACTTCGTTGGACGCCGTGTTCAAAGTGGATCTTCAGTATTTGGACGTATTTCTACCAAACAGAACTATGTGCCGGTGGGAAAGATGGGGTGTGCTCTAAAAAACTGGATAAGCAGGGTGTCTACAAGTCCGGAAATCGTACTGATTTTTTAAGGGCGGTCCGGAAGTACTGAAAAAGTGCGGAAATTCCGCAAAAAGGTCCGGAATTTTTTTAAATTGTTTGTGATTTTTTTCGCAATTTCAAACGTTTGAAATTTTTCTAATTTCGTCTAATGGAGGTACTGAAAGAGTACGGAATTTTTCTGTTGGAGAAGGCACTGAATTTCTCGAGAATGTACTGTAAAAGTTCTTATTTGTGACCAGCCTGTTTTATTAGACACCCTGGATAAGAAATAAAGTAACGTGGGCGTGATTCTATTTGGAAAAATGGGAAAGCGGGATTGTAAATTCAGCAAACGGAACTAGGTGCCAACTGTGTGTGGGGCTCATGAGCCGCAGGCATGGGACAAGTGCGTTGTGGACAGGGCTCATGAGTTAATGATTCCGTGGCTAGACACTTTACCCAATTTATTTTACCCAATACCTAATTGGGCCAACAAATTTTATCCAAGGTATAGTTTGGCCAAATTTTATTATCCAATTAAAAATTTAACCCACCCTTTTTTAATCCACGTTCTATGTAAGCCTCAATATTATTCATTATATACATTCCTCGTGTAACAGCTGACTTGTCGGACGTTGCTAAGGAAACTTTTCAATTGCAAAATTTGAAAGCTGAGGACGAGAAAATATTATAACCTGTAAGAAATGAGTCAAAGACAAACTCCAAAATTTTTAATTAAAGTCTACATTTGAAATCCAATTTTTATTTCAAAATTTTCGCGACTTTTTTAGAAGCATGTAAAAGTATGAATTTAATTTTTCCCACAAAATAAATATTACCTTGGACCAAAAACTAACGTGGACTAAGTTAACCATTGGTTAAAAAACTATTGGTCCAAAATTTTATTGGACAAATTTCAGCAACGGACCAAACAATTGTTGGACCAAACAAAATTGGGTAAAGTGTCTGGCCACCAATGATTCGGCGGCGGGGCATCGTCGCTTCTGTCGTCGCCGCTGACGTCATTGGCGCTTTATAATTCCCATTCATTCTTACCGCCCGAGAACTAACGAGTACACGCCATGTTCCTCACACGCACATAGTTCTGTCTGGTAGAAATACGTCCATTTTATAGTAAGATTCGATTGTCCATCAATCAGGTGATAATTCCTGAATTTTAGGAAATTTTTTCTGATCGAAGAATTTGCATGAACATTTTTTATTGCCTCATCTGAGAGTGTTGATTGAGCTGATTTCGCAGTATTTTTTAAAATTAATTCTTGATATGTATGGCAAATAGCAAAAAACCAGACGTTAAAGTGAGAAATTGCACCATCCTGTGACGTCATAACTTCATCAAGCGGCATTTTCCATTCAAACACATTTGTTCTGAAAAATTAAATAATTTTTACACATCTCGTCGAATAACTTTTCAATTCAGAGACCAAGGATATCCCTGTGCCCAATTCACTCAGTAGTTTCAACTTAAACATGCAATGCATCAAAACTCAGACACATGCAAATTTTCTATCAGGTAGTGTAGTGGCAAGGAATTTTCGCGAAATCTTTGATAAATTGCCCTGAAAATCGTCTGAACTTCCATTTAACAAAGCTGCAATGTATCCATTAAAATTTCGAACAATATATAATGGGGAAGAAAAATACGGCACCACCGTTAAAAATCTCCTGTCCACCGTCCCGCGCCGCCGTCCTGGTCCCTTCGGAATCCGGGTGCATCACGATGCCAATGAGCATGCGAGGAGATTCTCAGTTTTCCTTCAACTACGCGTATATGCAACCGAGCCTCACAACGAAGTTCGAATAGTTGCTTCGCGCAAGGCTGTTCATTCACTGCTCGAACCAGGCGGTTTTGGTGAGCCTCGATCCTGTAAGAGCAGCTTTTCTATAGTTAATGATACGCTGGCTGTCGCTTGGCTGACAAAAGGGCAAAACTACACCTAAAGATGAGCCCAGGAAAACATTGAGTTTTATGGACGACAGGGTTCATCGCGTAATGTTACGTCCTTGTGTCAGGAGTACGACGAATATGGGTAATGGAGATGTTGCATGTGTGAGGGATTTGCGATTTGACTGTTGTTTCTTATGTAAAAGTTTGCGAGAAACACGATGGTGCCACTGGTTTTCTCTGAAATCATCTCCCAAGCTCAAAAAAAGCTCTCAAGTTGAAGCCAAAATGCAGGGGATATCCCGCCCTACCCTGAGAGTCCACCTCTACATCAAAACAAATTCTCCATGCAAAGATAGGGAGCAAATACATTAGCAGGGATGCCGTGTTTTCAGTTTTGGAGTCCCCAAATAAAGTGGCAACCCTGTCAATGTATTTGCTCCCTATCTTTGCATGGAGAGTTTGTTTTGATGTAGAATTGGACTCTCAGGGTAGGGCGGGATATCCCCTTCATTTTGTCCTCACTTTGAGAGCTTTTTTTGAGCTTGGGAGATAATTTCAGAGAAAACCAGTGGTACCATCGTGTTTCTCGCGAACTTTTACGTATGAAACAGCAGTCGCATCGCAAATCCCTCACACATGCAACATCTCCATTTCTCGCTTTCCAAGGCGCCTTACTTCAAAATATTCAATGCAGCACCCAAATCCGTCTTATTTTCAATGGAACCTTAGGGTGATGGGTTAAAGCGACGTTTCCGGGACCAGAAAGCCTAGGAAAGTTAGGGACGTAAAATTTTTCAAGAATGCTCGAGAAAACATGGAAATTTTATGTAGGCAGAAATGAAGTAGATAAAAGAAAAAACAGAAATATTCTTTCTCTCGCTAGATTTAGTGATGTATCTTGAATTTTTAGTTGAATTTTGAAGGAAACTCGATTTTGGAAAAAAAATACTTGATTTTACCTCGGTTTTAAAAAATAAACAAATAAACGCCCACTGGAAAAAAAACACATTGGATCTAGAGTCCAGACTCTTGAAAACATTGACAAGAGAAAATACTCTTGATTCAATCGGATTTTTGCTTGAATCAAAACAAAATCCGCTTAAATTAAGAGACTTGGTTCTTGATTTAAGCTAGATTCTGATTGAATCAAAAGTACTTTTTCTTGTCGATGTTTTTAAGAGTCTGGACTCTAGATCCAATGTGTTTTTTTTTCCAGTGCGGTTTTGCGGGCTTTCTCATTTTCAAAATATGTTTTCGGGCAAGGGCGTGAAACCTAGGTGTGCTCATCACGACCCCTTAGGCCAAAACCCATACTTTTTTTGTTTCCAACGCCAGAGCCGTGTCGCGAGATTTTAATTACAGAAACTTTGCAGTCTTGGCCGAAAACAAATATAACCGTCTACCATTGATAAAAATGATCCAAGAATCACTCTACTAAAAGTTCATGAATTTCGACGGCGAAACCACCGGACCACGTATCTCGGTTTGCAACGTTGCAAACTTCCTGTTATACTTTATTTTTTAAATGGAAAACCACCCAACGTCAATTCTTGAGAACTTACGTGATTTTTCTCCATTGTGCGAAGAAACCCCTGTAAATATTTCAAGAAGTACTATTGATTTGTTGTCCTTCGAAAAATAAAATGGGAGCAGATATTTTTAAACGCGCAATCGAGAAACGTGGTTCCGGTAGTTTCACCGTCGATTTTTATCTCGTCGAATTTTATTGACCTGAATTTGTTTATTTTTATCAACAGCAGACCCCTGGTAAAAATTGGCGATAGGAGCTGCGTTTCAAAATACCATAGGAGTTCTTATAGCCGACTGAAGATGGCGATAGAAAATTATATAGCTGGCTGTAGAAAGTGGAAAAAATCATACGGCCGGGCTACACGAAGCGATAAAGAATTATACAGCCGGGCTATAGGGTTTTACACTTTATCGTCTAGCTGTTGCTTTTTTGCCATCGGCTATGAAAGGCTATAAAAAATTGTGTAGAAATTCATGTACTTTGTAAATCCTTAAGTTTATACGGAATCACCTTAATATTTACAAAACTCACATTATATTTTCCTTTACTACCTACATATTTTTTTCATCAATTAAAATGAGAATAATCCACACATATACAGAGTGTGCAAACATTTCAAAGTCATGAGTTGAAAAACGCTGACTCCACGAGATTAAATATTAGAGCCTAACTCAAAGCGGAGCGGCGGCGCTCTGGCGCCTACAAACCTAACAGGGATACTTAACGCATTGCGCCGCCAGTGCGCGTTTCGCGCTGGGTGTGAACGTTTCCAGTGTACGTTTCTTTTACCTTCATTGTTAAAAAAGCAATGATTTACTTTGAGTGAATAGATCAGAGCGTGACTATCACCAACGACGGACAAATTAGTGGAGCTTCATCAAGTAGCGTGAATTCAGCATTATCTGATGTGAAGAATGAGCCGATCAAGAATTACGAAAAACTGCCAATTTGTGTAATCTTTAAAGATATCTCAAAATAACGCAAAAGTTGAACGGGTTCGTGTAAGATACAGTAGCGGCTCCCATTCTCGTTGTTGGAGATCTCTATAGGCTTGACGGGGTCGCTACCGCTCCTAGTAATTCCCGTTTGTGACTTTATGAGGGGGGTTGTCTTGACTCTCAGTATAAACGGACTCCAGTTGTCTCTGTTTTTGCTTGTAAGCCTGGAACATGTTTTTTGAGATTTGTCTGACGGTTGTGGGTGTGTGTGTTTCAGGCTGCGCGTGCGGTACGTGATGCCGTCGGCGCGGCTGCGGCTGCGCGAGGCGGACGTGGTGCGGCTGAGCCTGGAGTTCCTGCACAACCGGGAGCTCCACATCTCGCAGCTCTCCCTCGAGCGGGAGACGGGCATCATCAACGGCCTCTTCTCCGACGACGTCCTCTTCCTCCGACAGCTCATCCTCGACGGACAGTGGGACGACGTCCTCGAGTTCATCCAGCCCCTCGAGGCCCTCCCCGCCTTCGACCTCCGACAGTTCACCTACCTCATCCTCCGCCACAAGTACGTCGAGCTCCTCTGCATCAAGTCAGAGGCCAGCGGCCTCACCGAGAACGTCGACAGCGCCGTCTCCGAAGTCGTCCAGGTTTGTTCATCGCCTATTTCTCTTTATTTGATCTTAGTCCGCGTAGTGTCCAGGACCGGGGAAAAAACTGGGAACGATCGAGATTCATCGATGCATAAAACATTATATGGAAAATTAGGGAAGAATGGAGATGTTGCATGTGTGAGGGATTTGCAGTTTGACAATTGATTCTAATGTAAACTTTCGCGAGAAACACGATGGTCCCACTGGTTTTCTCTGAAGTCAACTTCCAAGCTCAAAAAAGGCTCTCAAGTTGAGGCCAAAATGGAGGGGATATCCCATGCTATCCTGAGAGTCTACGTCTACATCAAGACAAACTCTCCATGCAAAGGTAGGGAGCAAATACATTAGCAGGGTTGCCGTGTTTCCAGTTTTGGAGTTCCCAAATAAAGTGGCAGCCCTTTCAATGTATTTGCTCCCTTATCTTTGCATGGAGAATTTGTCTTGATGTAGAGGTGGACTCTCAGGATAGCGTGGGATATCTCCTACATTTTGGCCTCAACTTGAGAGCTGTTTTTGAGCTTGGGAGTTTATTTCAGAGAAAACCAGTGGCACCATCGTATTTCTCGCGAAATTTTACGTAAGAGTCTAAAGTCAAATCGCAAATTCCTCACACATGCAACATCTCCATTAGTACCCTGATTTTGCTACAGCGCCCAAAAAGTTAAAATCATGGGGGTGGGTACCCCTTTTTTCAAAACTGACATCATTTGGACAGAAAGTTGGTAACGTAGCCAACGTGCGTCAAAAATCAGCATAAAGCTGAAAATCTCAATACAGAGGGAAGAAGCACATATGAGCACAATTTCCCCCCGAAGAGATGTGCTGTTTTTCCCCCTTTATATTGAGATTTTCAGCTTTACGCTGATTTTTAACGCATGTTGGCTAAATTACCAAGTTTCTGTCCAAACGACTCGTGCTGTTTCTGCAATCAGTGTGGCATAATTTACTAATTTTTCTATAGAGCAGATCAAGCGATTTGAATCAAGCCAAAGCTGATCCCTGTCGCTTGATTAGAACCAGAAAGTAAAATATCAAGATAAATTATGCATGACTTTCCTCAAAAATACTTTGTTTATTCGGGAAAGTTTGGCAACTCTCAATTGGACGTATTTCTGTCAAACGGAACTAAGCGCCAATTTGAGTTCCTTTTGAGGAATTTTGAATGCCGAGTAGCGCGTTTTGTTAAACGGACCTAAGCGCTATGGAAAAGCATTGCGAGTATAGGACGGAATGAGCCCGACGCCCGGTTTCGCCGCCAATCCAAGCCCCCCTCTACCTTCCTCACCCTATGGCGCTTAGTTCCGTTTGACAGAAGTACGTCCAATTCGTCCTACGGCATTCTTCCGTAGCACAGCAGAGAGCATCGCAAACCCATGTACCGTCGCTCCTCTGACCCAAGGGCGCATACCCCAATTTTCACGTGAGCCCTGTTCTCCGTATGACTCTATGCTTACCAAAGCTCCTATAAAAATAGAGATACGCTTTACATCAGAGCAGTAACGATACGTAGTTCAATAGTTGGACTGCATTTTGTAATTTGGAACTTTAAATTCTGGCTTTTCTGGAAAAACACCTGTGTTCATAGAGAAACTAATGGCACATACGTTGTTTTTAAACCGGGCTATAATTTATAGTTCCAAATTGCAAAATGTAGACCAGTTTTAGTATCAACCAGAATCCTCACGTGTTGACGTCCTCGTGTTTCAGGTCCTGCACGAGCTGGAAAAAGTGTGCGCCTCGAAGGAGGAACACTCGAACCTGTGCCTGCTGCTGACCCTGCCGCGGCTCTCGGACCACCTGAACTACAAGGACTGGAACCCGAGCAACGCGCGGGTGCAGTGCTTCCGGCAAGTCTACCCCCTGGTGGAGAAGTTCCTACCCTCGGACAAGAAGTCGGGCGAGCGGGAGGCCCTGTCCGGGGCGGCCAAGAACGACCGGCTCATCCAGCTCCTCATCAAGGGGATCCTCTACGAGTCGTGCGTCAAGTACTGCCAGGTGAAGGCCACCGGCGAGCCCGAGACCCCGACGCAGGACCACGAGATGACCTTCTCGCGGCTCCTCGACGGATGCGCCGGGCTCAGCGATTCGGATCTGTCGCTCTTGTCCTGGTTGCAGAGCATACCCCCCGAGACCTTCTCCATCCCCTTCGAGCAACGATCACTCAACGTCGACGTTGAGAGGTTAGTTGAGATACTTCGATTCTTCCTTTTTTTTGTAGTTAACGGGGAGAAAAATCGGCAAATCTTCGCGATGATATGACAGTTCAACGCCTGTGTTCCACCGGACCCGGCTTAATCCAGAATCCGGGGATTTCGATCTCCATCGACCCATTTCGCTCAAATCACCCCAACATGGGACGACAGGGTGTCTAAAATTCCGGAAATTCTGGAAAAAGTACTGCTTTTTTCAGGGCGGTCCGGAAGTATTGATAAAGAGCGGAATTCCGCAAGATGGTCCGGAATTTTTTCATTTTTTGTCATTTTTGTCGCAATTTGAGCGGGAAATTCAATTTTTTCTTAATTTTGCCGAAACTGAAAAAGTACCGAATTTTTCCGTCGTGGAAGTACTGGATTTCTTGGGAATTTACTGAAAAAGTACTGTTAAAGTACTGATTTTTGGCTAGTCTGTTCTAGTAGACACCCTGTAACCGGGAGAAAAATCGGCATATCTTCGCAAAGTGGAAAGATGGGGTGTGTTCGTTAGTGCTCAAGCCATGAGAATTAATGGGACTTTAAACGCGCCTGTGGCGTCAGCGGCACGACGGGGAGATCGGTGGCGGGACTCTTTAACTCATGAGTCCTGTCCGCAAGGCTCTTTCACATGCCCACGGCTCACGAGTTAGCGCTCAGTTCCTTTCGATTCAATGTCAAATCCCGCTTTTCAATTTTCTCAAAAAGAACTATATCCACTTTTACATTGTTTCTTATCTAACTTCCACGAGCACACCCCATCTTTCTACTTGCGCATAGTTCCTTTTCCCATAAATACGTCCAATTCTCAATCATATATCTCAAAAATTTCTAAAATTTTCAAGAGAAAATTCATAATTTTAACTTTGATAAACTTTTACCACCCTGGTTCCTCGCGCACTAATCTCTCTCTCAATTATGAATTTCAGGTTGGAGCGCCCCTCGCTGGAGACTTCCTGGACGGAGCACATGCTGGTGACGCCGATCAAGCCGAAGACGTTCCCGCACTCGGCGATGCCGTTCACGCGCCCCAAGTCCGCGGCGGACATGATGTCCCGCTCCCTCCTGCCGGCCCTGGACCAAGGCCCCGCGGGGACCGCCCCCGGCGGGATGGCCCTCTCGACCGGCGACCTCCGCGGCTCCCCGCTCATGTCCCGCTCCTCCTTCGCCTCCTTCCACCTCACCGGCGCCGGCGTCTCCAAGAACAAGCTCATGAACACCTCCGTGGACCGGCTCTTCGAGAACGAGGGCGACGTCTTCGTCTCCTCCACCTACGGCGAGTTCCAGCTCCCCTCCATCTCGGAGAACACCTCCACGCCCAAGCGCAAGTCCCCCGAGAGGAAGTCCCCGAGCCGGAAGGAGGCCCTCCTCTCGACGCCCTCCACGCCGGAGCACGGCCGCGGCCGGGAGTCCCCCTCCACCTCCACGTCCACCTCCACGACGGCCCGCTCCTCGCGCCGCGACTCCCTCTCCCTCTCCGAGCGACCCCACCCAGATCCTACCTCCGCCAACCCGGCCGCCAACCTGGACCCCAGCCGCGGCGTCTACGACCAGGGTGATCTCTTCAAGGAGTTCCAAAGGACCCGGCAACGCCTCCAGGAGAAGGAGATTCTTCTCCGACAGTACTCGGATCCTAGGTTCTCCGATAGTCAAAGAATGTCCGAAGACAGGTAAGCTTCCTTCTCACTTTGTTTTTGGCTTCATACTCTTGTGTCTGGTTTAAACTTCATACAGAGCAAAGTAGAAAATTTCCCCTTTGGAAAACTGGAGGGTTCACCCGTTGGCCGCTACGCGGCCTTACCTCCGGAGGACGTCTCGCAACCTTTGAAGGCCTAGATACACACGGCGATTAATCGCCGCGATTGAAAGACAAAAACTAATGGAGAGCCTGAATTTCGATCCACTGAAGTCGATATATAATGGAGAGCCTTGATTTCGATGTATCGACGTCAATGGATCGAAATCCAGGCTCTCCATTGGCTTTCGTCTTTCACTCGTGGCAATTAATCGCCGTGTGTATGTAGGCTTTTAGAGTCGCTTCCTGGGTTAGGGTGTCGGAAAACCGTCAATATAAATCGGATTAACCGGAAAATATCAGGACATTTGACGGAATATTTAATGGAATGACGGATAATTTAATTGGTGCAAATTACTTTAAGACGGACAAAATGGAAAATATCAGTAATAAAACAAGTTTATAGTTTATAGATAAGACATCATACCCGTAATTCTAATGAATAATGTATGTAAAAAAAAGAATCGATAATTTGTCGCTCAGTGCAGATAGACTCGCTCTAAATCCGGCTTGCTCATCAGGGAATGAGCTCCTGGAAATCCGCGAAAATCCGGTAAAAATCAGGGAATGAGCATAGTCAGAATTGAATCAGTGAGAACGAAAACACACTAACTCGGTAACTCGAAAAATTTCACTTTTCACTGAAAACAGACAATTTTCATAAAGGTCATTGGAGTTACCGTATCTATTCCAACTTGGGCATATAAAGTTTCCTCAAGTACTTGCTTTTAGGCACCAAAAATATTTTTCTTAGAGTAACTTCCTCACCTAATATGCAGTTTTTGTGTGTCTTGATTATTTTCATTTTTTCGAGTTGGTGTGTTTTCGTTCTTACTGATTCAATTCTAGACACGATGGCTCCTAAGAACTCCGTCTACAGTCGTAGTTGTTGATTGTTTCCGTTGGCTCTAAATCTGACATTCCGAGTGGGTCAGGCCTGAGGTCATGAGATATTGCAGCATGAAAAATGATGACGCGTGTTGGATGAGGACAGGGGCCGAAAGTGGTCGAAAGTGGCCCAATTAACTACCGTCCTAAGAAAAAACGCCGCATGAACATTCAAATGTTGCCAAATTTCTCCTGATAAAACACTTATTTTGGAAGAAAGTCATGCATATTTGGACCGCGTTTAACAGAAAAGAACCAAGCCACATCAGCTATTGCCAAATTTAACTGTGCAATTTAATTTTTTACGAGAGAACGATAGTGCGGATTCCTTGGAAAATTTTAAGGAATTTGCTTTGCACTACGGAGAAAATTCACCGAAATTCGCACGAAAATCCGCAAACCCTTTTTCATATAAAAAATTTTATTGCTCAATTAAATTTGGCAGTAGGTACACGGAGAAAAAAAACTTCGTGCGTGGGACCCGAAGTTTAGGTCATATGGATCTCTGAAGTTTTCGGATTGAGCATCTGAACACTTCAGATCTAGCTGTCAAAGTTCGGATCACACATCTGAAACTTCAGTTTTTACATCTGAAGTACTTCAGATGTGAGAACCGAAGTTTTTTGGATGTGAGAACTGAAGTTTTTCGGATGTGAAAACCGAAGTACTTCAGATGTAAGAACTGAAGTTTCAGATGTGTGATCCAAACCTCAGCAGCTGGACCTAAAGTGTTCAGATGCTCAATCTGAAAACTTCAGAGATCCATATGACCTAAACCTCGGGTCCCACGCACGAGGTTTTTTTCTCCGTGTAGATGGTGTGGCTTGGTTCCATTGGTTCCATTCTGTTTAACGCAGTCCATTTTTCCTCGACATTTTCAGATGTTTTGGATTGAAGCGCGAACAAAATAGTCTGAAAAATTGATGAAAAATCTTGACAACTTTCCGAATAAATTCGTATTTTATCAAAATAAATTTGGCTACGGCTGAAGGTTCATATGGCGTTCTTCCTCTAGCGCGGCAGTTAAGCGGACGAAACGGCGAGTGCCAGCGGTGCTTTCCAAACGGAGCTTCCCGGTGGGTTGTCGCGTTCGGCTCAAAATCGGCCTCGTTTCTAATGAGCCGTGGGCCCGTTTTACGCGGTAGTCGACTCAAAAGAGGAACTCTTACTTTCGGCCAAGCTGATGACCGGTCGGGTCGTAAACAGGAGCCGTCCGCCTGCCCTCCAGCTCTGGAATCGGCTCATCCTCGAAAAGTGCAGGCGCTCAAATGGCTCTATCAATCCTCGCTTCTTCAGCTAAGCATTGTAAAAAATGAGACCCACTCTGTTTGTAACAAGTGAGTATCAAATATCGACGGCGCACAGTGGATCGAGTCAATGGGAGAGGTCGGACAGAATTTGGAAACTTTAAACGCTTATAACTCCATTTATACAAAACTTTGAGGTTTTAAAAGTGGTTCCATTGGTTTACTCGTGAAATTTACTTTCTGAAACACCCTTTTAAATTTAAAATGTGACTAAATAAACGTCAAAATTTGCAATTTTAGTCAAAAATGTCATGTCCGACCTGTCGTTTTGACCCGATCCACTGTGCGGCGTAAGTCCGCAATCACACATCTCGTTTGTGGTGTCTGAAAATGTCCGCCTCTAAATTATTTTTTTAAAGGAGGACAAATTTACATCACTCTATGAAGTTTTTGCAAAATTTTCTTCGTACAGAGAAGAAAAATCACGGCAGTGTTAAAGAATTGCCATTGAGAAGTTTTCCGTCAAAAATAAGGTATGCCGGAAGTTTGCGACGTCGCAAACAGAGTTATGTGATTGCCGACTTACACCATCGATATATCTGTCGAAGGGAAATAGTCAAATCAGGCATTTTGTTAAATGCCCAGGCAGATAGTCAACTTTTCAGAGGTTACGAGGTCTCTTATGTTTCCACAGAGAAATCTCGAATTTCCAATATTTAAAGAGTGAAAATCGATAAAAGTAGTATAGACTGTTATTGCATTTCTCGTTCAAGAATGCTCCTCACATTTCTTCAGCCGTCCAAATTGTGAAATATGTTTATTTGATTAAATGCTGTGTATTTTGAGATAAATGTGAAATCCAGGACCAGGAACAATTTATTTATCGTTGTATGAAGCACATTTCTATAGAGACTTCCTTCCCACATGATCAGAGCATCATTTTGTCTACAGTTAGTAAAATAATCAGGATTTCAGTCCAAGTAAAAATATTTGACTATTTGCCTAGGCATTTAACCAAATGCCTGATTTGACTATATCTGAAATTTACGAGAGTTCTATCGTTCTTCCTCAAGAAAATTCCGGCAAAGTGGGAGAAAACTTCGATTCCTCATCAGGAAATGGGCTACTGAAAATCAAGGAAACATTAGGGAATGAGCATGATCAAGAATTCTAGACATTTTGTTCTAGAGTTTACTGTGAACAATTGGCAAAATTTTGGACCGAAATTGTGTTGCTATTTTTGTGAGAAAAAATTGATTTTGCAAGGAGATTTCGTAACCTTGGAATATAGATACGTTTTTCGTCGGGGGAAGAACGATATAAAATCTGAGGCAGGGGTTGAAGAGGGAAGAGCATCACGTATTTTTAAGGGAAAGGGATGTCAGCGTCATGTATTGTACGGGGCTGCCACAGTCAGGGAATACCGGAAAAACCGGGAAATGTCAGGAAAAATGACGAAAATGTCAGGGAAAAATGATCAAGTCACCTTATTTGCTTTTTAGAATGGGTTTGACATTTTGAACAACAAATTTTGCTCGAAAACTATTTTTCTAATTACATCTCTACCACCTGGAGTAACCTCAATTGTCAGGGAATTTCACCAAAATATGTCAGGGAAATCAGGGAATTTTTTTTTCTAAATTTTGTGGCAACCCTGATTTTATGAACGATTTTTTAGGATTCGTTTGATTTCTACTCGATGAACATGACAGAACTCGGTTTAACCGCATTTGATGACAAAAAAAATTGGAGAGTCGGCTGCAAGTGGCAACTGCTACCTGGTATCGAGTCCGAGGTAACTAGTCCTAAATATGAGCGATTTGCCCAGGCCGACCGGAATGTCCAGTCTAGATCTGCGCCTCCTCATTTTTCGCTCTTACGCGGGAATTTCCTCATCCTCATGTCTCGTCACAGTTTAGCAACGGCAACACAGCCGAGGAAAGCCGTTCGCTCTGCAACTAATTTCTATCGAGATTACGTCCGGTCGCGCTGCTGCTGTCCAGCAGTCTCAAAACCCGTTCCGAAAAAATAAGTCTCCTCATGAGTGATGAGTATACGCTCGAGCTCTTCAGCTAAAAATCAAGCTTAACTCAATCTACAGTGCCAGGGTGTCTATCGGTCCCCAAAAGTCCCCAATGTCCCCGATACCCCCAAAAGTCCCCAATTTTCTTGTTCAGGTCCCCAAAAGATGACAAAAATCGTCCTCAACACCAGCATTTTCAAATTTTCCCGCCAGCCGCGGCGGCGCGGTATAACCAGGAATAAAAAAACTGAAGCGTTGCTTGGTTCTTCGTATGTTTTCATCGGTTCAATGTGACTTGTAAAATTAGTCATGCAATTTCTTTTCTTTGGAAGTCGTAATAGTTGTATCACGCGTTTCGTACCATCCAACTTTTCTACTCATGCGTTAAAGTCTCTGAGTCAGCCGAAAAGAATGCATGCTCCTTCATTTCGTGATCATGCAATTTCTTCTAATTGGAAGTCGAAATAGTTGTATCACGCGTTTCACCGCATCCAACTTTTCTATCCATGCGTTAAAGTCTCTGAGTCAGTCAAAAACAGCCCATTCTCCTTCATTTCGTGATCATGAAATTTCTTCTATTTTGAAGGGGAAATAGTTGTATCACATGTTTTGCCCCATCCAACTTTTCTACTCTGCGCCCCCTTTTTTCAGTGAAAAGCTCGAAACTACTTTGGAAGTCCTTGATTTCTTCACTATAGCATTTGATCTCCTTGAAAA